GGCCGGTGGGCACAAGCTAAACGCAGGCCTTCCTCTTCCGCTCGGCGCAGCCTAACCTCACACGCGCCTCTGTCACCAAACGCCGGGGCGGTAAAACGACAGTTGTGAAGATCGGGCGGTGGCGCGGTAGGGAGGCCCCGGCCCGGCCCCCAGAGCACACCTGCCGTGCCCTCGTCGGCCCCGAGCACGCGCAGCAGGAGCACGGCGGGAGCCGCCAGCCAGCGCCCAGGCCCACACAGACTCGGCAGACAGGCCGGCGGTGCCCACCTGACGGCCCGAGCCCAGGCAGGGCAGGAACGGTCCCACAAACGCGGGACACAAGTCCCCCGGAGGACCGCGCGACCGCAAGACGTGCTTCTGTCTGTTCGGACGGTACCGCCTTCTCCCCGGCCGGCTCTTCCCCGAGCTAGGCCAGACCCCGGTCGTTATCAGGCGCTCTACACGCGCCCGCCTGACAGCGCGTGCCGGGCCCTCCACACAGAGACCGCGCCACGCCCGAGCAGAGCTGGGCTGGATGGGAGGGCAAGAGGCGGCCAGCGCCCGGCCGTGGCGTGTCCTCCGGGAGAGGACGGAGCCATGGACAGAACCCCGTGGCTGCAGAGGTTGCCGTGAGCACCAGGGGGCCTGACGAGTCAGAGGAAAACCGACGTCCTGAGTAGGATCTGCCAGTGCGGTGACATCCCCACCGTGGCCACACCGGTGCACGTACCTCGTCCGTAGGCCGGGCTGTCGCCGTGTCTGCCGGCGGCCGGTCCTTCGGCACCTCTGCTTCCAGTGAAGAGTTGACTCTCTGTTAAGACAGACAGGCACGTTTGTGATTACACAAGTCTGCGGCCCGTGTGCGTACAGATGAACTGTGACAGGAACCTCTGCGTGGACCTGCTCATCAGCTTTGGCTACATCAGGCTCCCCAGCAATTCCAGGCACCGTGTCCTCATGAAAATAAACACCACGTGTGGATCCTGGTTTTCTGTCCCTTTTTTTCCCTCAACTTTGGAAACACGTCTCCGCTCCAGTCTCCCCAACGATGAAACGGAGAGACGGGACGACAGGGTCACTAAGAGCACTCCCAGTCCTGCACCCCGGAGACTTCCAGGGCTCCCAGCCCCGCACCCCGGAGATTTCTGGGGACGCCAATAATAATTACACATTTCTTAAACCAGAGGCACAGAACTCCGGGGCCTGTTCAGGGACCCAGAACATCATTCGTTCTGTGTAAGATCACGACAGTGTCCGTGGGCTCGTCTGTTCACACGGATGGCACCGTTTCCACGGCCGGCAGATCTGAGGGGCCACCTCCTCCTCAGGAGAGGGCAGCGTGTGCACAGACGCGGTCCCAACATCCCCTCCCTCGGGAACCAGCCAATCATTCCAAAGCACTGAGGCGAGACTTCCCAGGACTTCTGCGGAAGCAGGTAACCGAACACCAGAGTCATCAACAGATCTATTTGATTAGGAATGCAAAGTGTCGCCCAAACTCGTTCCCCAAACTAGAAGCTCCCCTTTCTCAAAGGTGGGACTTTGTCTGTCTTCCCCTGGTCTGTCCCTCACAGACACCAAAGACCCATCAGTGGCGGCAGTGGATTGCACACACCCGCACGGGCCTGCAGGTCTGCGCGGCACCGCGGCCCCCAGCCGCCTCCGAAGCGACCCCCCCGTTATTCCAGCACTTCCAAGCATGAGGAAACGAGACGCGCTGGATTACCTGGGCCTTGACCAGGAGAGGCTTCAGACGCTCCAGAACTGCCTTCTCTACCTCGTCTGCTAACTGGGCAGCAGAGTCACTGGGTCGAGACAAAATCAAAAATTAAAATCAAAAGCAGAAGATACCCTATTTTGTGCATTTACGTACTACCCCGGGTGGAGGAAATGAAACGATTATAAAATCAAAGTGCTTCTCCAATCGTGAAGGCCACGCAAAGTCCCCGGGGGCCTCTGTAAAATGCAGACCCGCAGTCGGCCGGCGGTGTGAGGCCCGAGACTGCGTTTCCAACAAGCCCCCAGGTGGCGCGACGTGGCTGGTCCTGGACCCACCCTGAGGACACTTCTTCACCTCTGAAGACGTACGTTGGGCTCTCGGTACGTTTTAAAAAATAACGGCTGCCTTTAAACAACCGAAGAGGACAGAACATGGAAGAAATCAAGCTAATCCTGCTCGGTCTCCAAACCCCACAATCGTGGAGTCAGACCTAAGCCCCCAGAGACAAGGAGAAGATGGAAAACAGGACAGAAGTGATGAGGAACCGAGCTGAGCCGAGAAAGCCGAGAGCACGCAAACCCCCGCGCGCCCCGCTGACCACACGGGTGCAGGGCTGGCAGGACAGGCACGGGGGGCCTGCGGGGCTGCGAGGTGAGTCCAGGATGGCTGAGAGGCAGGACCCGGGGGCCCTTCCCTGCCTGGCACAACTCACACCTGCCCGGTTCTGCCTCAGGACGTCTGGGGGCCCCTCCTCTGCACGAGCAGCCGCCAAACAGGGTGTAGGGGCAGGTGCCCTCCCGGAGAGAGGGGGCCCCGCAGGCCGGCTGGGCGCTCCGGGGACACCAGGTCTCGCCCTCCGGGGTCTTCTCTGCACACGCTCATCTCTGACCCGCCCTCAGGAAAGGCCCGAAGACCGACATGAGGGTCCCTGGCGAGCAGTCCGCCAACGCGCCCCACGGAGTAGAGCTCGGCCGGGACGGCACCACAAGGGCAGGTCTCCGCGAGGAAACCAGCACACTGAGCGGTGCCTCATCTCACACGGGAACTCGGTCAGGATGGACGGCGGACAGGAAAATACGGCTCAGACTGCAGAGCAGTTGGAAGAAGACGCAAACGAACATCTCAGGGCCCTAGTGTTGGAGGGGACCCCTGAGACCAGACACAGAACGAGCTTAAGTGAAAAATAAAAAAGTGGGAGATTGGTCTTATCAAACCTTGACATTTCTTCCTCAACAAGATACCGCTAGGAAGCACACTCGCCACCGCGCCCCACCTGCCTGACTCACCCCTGACCTTGCCCCTGACCTCCTGGGACACAGGCCCGGACCCACCATCTTACACCAGCAGCTCTAACCCTGGTCTGCGCTCGCTTCTCAGATCTCAGGACCGCACAGCGTCCGTCAGGGATACATCCGTAGGGACAGACATCCGGGTGGAGGCGATGAAAGGTGACGGGGTGAACAGGGGTCGGGACGGCATTCGCTCTGGGGAGGAGGGGGTGGCCGAGGAGGGCGCGTGGGGACAGCCCGTGACGGCCTGTTCGTGGCTGGAGCCGCTGTCCACGCACATTTACCACGTGTGACCGCTCGAGGGACAAGCGGGCACAGTGGGCTGCAGTCTGGCCATCTGGCTGGGAGATGGTGGGTAGGAGTCCTAACGCCCTGCCCCGCCAGAGACAGTCCCATCACAGAGGCTTCGTAGGGACGTACGGCCGCAGGGCCCAAGAGCGTCGCAGGAGAATGAGCCCCTTCCAACCCTAAGGTCCCATGACTTCACTACCGATGGGGCCTCTTTCGAGCGGGAGGGTCGAGCGTCCGTCCTGATGGGTGGCAGGATGCACTGTCCCAAGAGAACCCCACTCGTCTGACCTCGGGGCGAAGTGCCGTCCGTCACGGCAGCAGAGTACCAACCTCCTCTGCAAACCTCAAGAGCCCGCTCGGGCGACTTGTCTGCGCAGGGTGGACCCTGGAACGCCGTGTCCGTGCACTCAGCCGTGTGAGCTGGACACACGCATCAACCTCCTCTCGCTGAGAGCGGGGTCCCCTGGGCCAGACAGACGCAGGCCAGCCCCTCAGGCGGCTCCCCTAAACTGCCACCTTTGCTCAGTATCAAACTCCACACGAGACAGATACTTCCGAGCAAACACACCACGTAAGGACACGCGGGCAGGCCCACGCGGTCCGGGGCGCAGGCACGCAGCCTGGCCAGGGCAGGCGAGCGCTCACCGCTCCTCAGGCGCGAACGCCACCCGTTGCTGCGGTCTGGGGTTCAGTCCCGCCCGCGGTCGTCCCACTAGAGCCCACGTGGAGCCGAGCGAGCCCAGCGGACGGGGCGGAAGGACACCTGACGGTCCCCGGCCCGGGGGGCTTCTCAGGAGCAGACAGCCCGTCGGCGCATCCACACGGGAAGCGTGAGCACCCCAACGGCCGCGGGAGGGGGCGGGCCGGACCGTGGCTTTCCGCACCGGAGGCCGGCTCACCTCTGCCTGTGCGCGCCGTCCGCGCCCGCGGCTTTCACCTCCTCCAGCTCCTTCAGTGTTTTGTGAGCTTCAGCGTCGAGCCAGGCGAGTCTGGAGAACGGCAAACAGAGTGAGACCCACCCGCCCGGACCTGCAGGCCGCCATCGCCACGGACAGGCACCCTGCGGGTGACACCGCTGCCTGCAGAGAGCTCCCCGCCCGGCACTCTGTGCAGCGACACTAACACGCGGAGGCCCTCCGGTCCGTGGGGACGGCGCCCCGGACGGCCCACAGCTATCCTCAAGAAACTGAGCCCTCGCCGTGCTTAGGATTTCCTGTCCGACCACCAAGTGACCCTGCTGCTGTGTCTTCCAGTTCGGACAGAGAGGCCCCCCCCACCGCCCTCCGGAGGGCACGGTCATAGCCGAGTCACATGAAACCAGAAAGGCAGAACAGACCCCGAACAGATTCGGGGGACGGGGGGCGGAAGGGCTTCAAACCTGCCAGTCAGGGTACGTGAACAGCATCCAAGTGCTTAATGGCCCACATTCATTTTTGCTTTCCCATAACACAGGGGCGATCTCGGCCACGCAAACAGAGCCCTGTCGTCACTGAGCCCCTGCAGGATGTTCTCACCTCACCCCCCACTCAAGTCCATCCCCGGGTCCACGAAGCCCAGGCCTCTGCAGCAGGGAGCGGCCGGCCCCCTCCAGCCCTCACCCTCCCGTTCTGCCTCAGACCACAGACATGCCCATCCATGACTGCACATCACGGGGCTGGGATCGTTTTGCCCCGTTTCTAGAAGTGTTCACAGAGTGCACCGCTGTACCACAGACAGAACAGGAACTGGTGGACCACTGATGCACACACAATGTTTGAGTGAACGAAAGAAGAAGGATTGAGGGGCGCCTGGGGGGCTCAGTCGGTCGAGCGTCTGACCTCGGCTCAGGTCATGATCTCACGTCTGTGAGTTTGAGCCCCGCCACGGGCTCTGCGCTGACAGCTCGGAGCCCGGAGCCTGCTTCGGATTCCGTGTCTCTCTCTCTGCCTCTCCCCCCGCTCACAGTCTCTCTCTCAAGATAAAGACGTGAAAAAAAATTATTAAAAGAAAATAAGGGGTGAAAGGGAGAGTCGCTGTCTACCCTCTACACTTAGACAGGAAAGTCGGGGGTTACGCGTTCTATAACTGGCTTTGCGCGCGCGCACACACACACACACACACACACACACACACACGAAAGAAGAGTTCACTCAAAGATTTGGAAAACAGCGGCACAAACCTCATGGCTTCGTGCGCAACAGCACCTGTCAACGCACTGGCCTCCTGAGCCTCTTCCTGCTGGACAGACCGCTCTCTGGCGGCATCTCTGGGGCCGGGCCTCACCTTCAGCCAGGCGGCACTACAAAACATGGAGAGTCACGCCCTGGGGACCCCTCCCGGGACAGCCTGCCCCGAGGACACGGATGCAAGCAGGAGCCCGGGCTGGAGGAGGAGGGAGCCGCCCCAGGATCCAGGCTCAGTGCCCACGGAGATGCTTTCCTCCGCCCCCCACACGCCACCGCGTGTCGAGTGGAAGAGAGCTAGGGGTGAGCGTCAACAAAGCCCCGCTAGAACCCAGATTTAACGTGACCCAATTACTTTCCACAGTGCAGAGCGGCCCTCTCCCGCGGGCCCGACCCAGCACCATGACCCACCGCCTTCCCCGCGCTCTGCACACACCCAGGTCTCTCTGGTCTGCGGCATAAACTTCCACCGACTGACATTTTTTTGAGCTTCCACGTGAATTCGCGGCTTTGTGCCAGGACACACACAAAAGTACGGAACTTCGAGCAGAGGGATAAATGCAGCAAAGCCCGCAGTGACATCAGGACGCCTGACTTGAGACCCGCTCTACTACAGAGGGCACCGGACCCTCTCCGTGCTGCCGTGTCAACTTGAAAACGAGGGCGTATGGGCACGTGTGTCATTCACACGACACCGCAGGAGTCCCCAGGTGGGCCCATCCTCCAGGCTTTTCCCCGTCACCTGCCGGCCTCCAGAAGGGTGGGCCCTCCTCCCCACATCCCTGCTCCACCACGCTTCCAGCAACTTCCGTCCCACGGAAAACAAACGCCGCTCTGTCCCGATCGATAGTCTCCCTCGGAGACTACTTCCACCTGACCGGACCCCGCTGCCCGGGAGGGCCCGCCTCCCCCCAGCCCTGCGATGGCGCCCCGTCCCTGCGTGCAGTGGATGAGGGGACGGCGGTAACGTCCATGTTACCCTCACGTCCCCTGCAGTCAGTGAGATCCGTACAGTTTTATAAGTCGGCATCTTGTCTTAGAGTCAGAATTATTTCTAAACATTCACTCATTCAGCAAAGATTTAGTGATAGCCCCCCAAGGACCGTGAGGGGTCAGGCCCCGCGCCAGCTGTGGGAGGCGCACGGCTCCTGGCCTCAGGTCACTGAATCCACTGCGTGGAGACAGGTGGGGGCGCGCCTGCGACCCCCACACGGGACCACACGCCCACGGCGGGTCGGGGCGGCCCGCTCACCCACAGCCACGGAGGAGAGAGGAACCGTCATCCTTTAGACACAAAGCGCTCACGTGTTTCTCACCCAGCTAAGCTTTTCTTCCTCACGGGAACCACAGCGGCCGCTTCACCAGCTCTACGCGCTAGGTCACCCTTGACCCGAGGAGGGAGAGCGTGATCACGTACCATTTGGGGGACGCTGGCGGGGACGTGGGGTTTGGAGGCACCCAGGGGGCCCTGAGGTCCCTCACTGGCTGCTGGCTCCTTTTCAGCCTGGATGACACGGTCGTGCGCTGCAGTCTGCTTCTGCCGCGGCCTTGGGGCGGCTGACGGTCCTCAGCTCTGAGGGGTCCCTGTAGGAGAGAAACATGAACCCTGAAGCCAAACGCGTATCAAAGAGGCTCGTTTTAACCTCTGGCTAACGGGAGCTTCGGGCGTCCCCACGCTGCACCAGAACCCTGACTGGAAAGCGCTGTGGCAAATTTGGGGGCGGGTGCACGTCACACTGAACCCCCCAGGTGGGGGCGGGGGTTTACAGGTGGAGCCCCTGGATTTGCCACCTTTTAATATGTGTGTGTGTGTGTGTGTGTGTGTAACATACACGTATGTGTGCGTATATGTGCATGTGTGTGCGTGTACAGATGGAGTCCCTGGATTTGCCGCCTTTGTGTGTGAGTGCACGTATGTATAGCATACGTGTGTGTACATACGTGTTGCACGTGCATAATATGCATGCGTGTGTGTGCGTGTACATGTGTGTGTCAGTCTAATATACACGCACGTATATGTATGCCGTATAATAAACATACGTATCGTGTGTGTATAACGTACACGTGTGTATTATGTGTGCGTGATATACACGTGAGTTATGTGTGTGCGTATGTGTACGATATACACGTATGTATATGTATATATATGTGTGTGTGTATATATATTTATGTTTACGTTTTTCTCTAATTAAACAAACACAAAGAAGAGATCATCCGCATGGTATTCTTGGTGAAGACCCTTAACCTCTGAGTCTTAGGTGTCTCATCCATAAAATGGGAGCTGCTTTCCCGTGTTTCCAGGAGGCTGGACGGGCCGCTGTAAAAGCAGCAGAAGGCGCTCTCCAGGCTAAAGCTCCGGCTACCCTCGGACAGGCTGGGTCCTGACCTCCCAGCGACTGCCCTCCCCGCCCCAGGACTGTGTGGAAAGGAACAAGGCCTGACCCAAGCCAGGGTCTATCAGTCACCGTGCCTGGGGCCACCTGACCACACGCAGGGCAGGGTGGCTGTGGAAGCCCGCGCTCGCCCATCCAGTGGCAGGGACTACGTGAGGGGTGGCTAGGCGGGAAGGCGGTCTTCCGGCTGGTTCGGCCACACTGTAAACAGAAGCTTAAAACGTAACATAGCCTCAAGCCAGCTGGCTCCCAAAGACCTGCTGGAAAGCACTGACCCTTGGACGCCTTTTCATACCGAGTGGTTAGTATTTATCGATATTTATCTTCAGCAGGAACCAAATCTCAAGCCCCCCCAATTTCACACTTCCAAAGCAGAAGCAGAAAAAACCGAATGTTAAAGTAGCCTGCCCAGTCAAGACCTCGGAATCAAATTCGTTCCGACCTCTCCAAACCAGGACGGGAGAGAACGTCTGGTGGTCACAGCAACGTTAAAAACCGTTATCTTTTTTTTTAAAAAAATAAGGAAAAAAACTATTGGGAGCCGAGCAAAGTCAGCTCAGCCCGGATGGTGGGCTCAGGGGCTCGGGCGGCACCGCCGACCAGCCCGTGACCGTGGCTGCGCAGCCAAGGGAGGGAGCGTCCCTACCTGCGGCGGCCCCACCGGTGCCTCCTCCTTCCTGGGCGGTATGCTCCCCGCCCCGGGCCTCCAGGCCGCTGCTCCCGCTCTCGCCACGGCCACGGGCTCTGCCGTGAGGCTCGCGCTGTGGTCCGGAGCAGGAGGGGCTCCTTCCGGACGGATGTCCGCGCCCCTCACACCAAGCCCGTTCCCGTTCGCGGATCGCTGGGTCGCTGCAGGTGCTGCCCCAGGCTGACACTTATCTGCAGGGACAATTCAGAAGGACAAACGGACGTGCAACTCAAGTTGGTGACAAGCGAGCGTCCCCTCAGACGAACTCCAGACCTCCAGCCCGGAAACACAGAGGCGTTCTGCTGCCAAGATCACTCCTCGCCCTTGACTCCCACGCGGACCCACACGGGGAGACACCGAGGCTCACCTCCCACGTGCGCTCCTTCCTGTGACTATAATAATGCCGGCTCCTGACCGACCCCTTCTTTGTCCTCGATCACCCCACCTGGCTACCAAGTGTGGTTTTGCTAAAATGTAAATATTTAACTGTCACCTCTCAAAACTTTCACTGGCTCCCAATTTGACACAGAATCAAGTCTGAACTCCACATGACATTCAACTTGTGAGGAGAAAAGAAATAAAACCATCTACATTCAGGGCGCCTGGGAGGGTCGGTTGGTTAAGCATCCAACTCTCGATTTTGGCTCAGGTCATGACCTCACAGTTTGGGAGTTCGAGCCCCAGGCTGTCAGCGCAGAGCCTCCTTGGGAATTCTCTCTTTCCCTCTCTTTTTGCCCCTCCCCTGCTCACTCTCTTTTTCTAAATAAATAAATACATACATACATACATACGTAAATCATACGTACATACATACATACATACGTACATAAGTTTCACTTAAATTTAAAAAGAGGGGAGGGCACCTGGCTGGCTCAGTCGGTGGAGCATGCGACTCTTGATCTCAGGGTCTTGAGTTCAAGCCCCACATTGGTAGTGGAACTTACTTAAAATTAAAAAATTTACGGGGCGACTGGGTGGCTCAGTCGGTTAAGCAACCAACTCTTGATTTCAGCTCAGGTCACCATTTCACAGTTTGTACCTCCCTCCAATGGGGGACCCACCTCCACGGAGGACCCTCCCTCCAACGGGGCACCCTCCACAATGGGAGATCCTCCTCCATGGGGGACCCTCCCTCCAACGGGGGACCCTCCTCCATGGGGACCCTCCCTCCAATGGAGCACCCTCCACAATGGAGGACCCTCCTCCACAGGGGACCCTCCTCCACGGGAGAGGCTCCCTCCAACGGGGCACCCTCCACAATGGGGGATCTTCCTCCATGGAGGACCCTCTCTCCAATGGGGCACCCTCCACAATGGGGGACCGTCCTCCACAGGGGACCCTCCCTCCAACGGGGCACCCTCCACAATGGGGGACCCTCCTCCACAGGGGACCCTCCTCCACGGGGGACTCTCCCTCCCCTGTGGGAAACCTTCCCTCCCCTGTGGGGGATCCTCCAGCTTCCCACCCGAGGATGTGGCTGGCTTGCTACTGGCTTTGGGGGTTCAAGTGCACCTGCTGTGGACCAGACACGCACAAACATTTCAGGACACATACCAGCAAGAAGCCTGTTTGCCCTGGAAGGTTGTCGCGCTTCCTGCAGAAGTATCTCCTTTGCTAGGAGGGGTCTCCTCTCGCCTTTTGGCGAAGAACTCCGCCATCTCTCCAAGGCCCTGTGGCCACCAACGGGAAACCTGGTCTGAACTTCCGGGAAACATTTCTTCACCTTTTTTGGTGACAGTTTCTTTTCCAGGAGGGACTCCAAAGCCTGCCACGAAACCAGTGTTCTCTTAGTGTCTCACAAAAGTCTGACTGCTGATCACAAAACTGAAAGCGAGGTCTCCGGATGAACGTGCCGTTAAACGGCCAACTCTCATGGTCGTCCAATTGTTGTTTAACTTAATCTGAAAACTTTTTTACTGAGGACATCTGTCTAATCAGAAGGATTCTGCACGTTCTTTTACACGTTTAGTTCGCTAAAACCAACGGCAAAAAGATAAACAATGTGACTACTTTTAAAGGCAACCAAAGGGGCGCCTGGGTGGCGCAGTCGGTTAAGCGTCCGACTTCAGCCAGGTCACGATCTCACGGTCTGTGAGTTCGAGCCCCGCGTCGGGCTCTGGGCTGATGGCTCAGAGCCTGGAGCCTGTTTCCGATTCTGTGTCTCCCTCTCTCTCTGCCCCTCCCCCATTCATGCTCTGTCTCTCTCTGTCCCAAAAATAAATAAACGTTGGAAAAAAAAAAATAAAAAAATAAAGGCAACCAAATCTTAAAAATAGGGATCACCACATTTTAGAAACTAACCATAGTCTTCAGAACATAACGCTTTACAAGCATTTTAATTCTCAATAAACATCTCATACACTCCAACAGTATTTTCAGCGTGCAAACGAACCGCATTTTATATACGTTTCCATCAACTACTCCACATGCCCAGCGACCTCGGTCACTCACCCACCCCAGAGGGAGGACGCCTGTGCCCCCTTCCTAAAAGAGACGCACGCTCTCCTGAGTGCCCCCACCCATCGCCTGGTCCGGACGCATCGGGCACAAGTGAGCATGGCAGGGAGACGTCCTCCGGGTGGCAGCGGGCCGTGGGACGGCACGGCTCCTCAACGAGACAGAAGGAACGTCCTGCACTACCGAGGAATTCCAAAGTCGGAGTGGGCGGACATCGTGTTTAGGAAAGGTTAGGTTCCGGTACCCCTGCAAAGTCGGGGAAAGCACCGGGTAGCCCCTTGAGGCCCTTTCCAGAATTGTAAACACGTGTCCTCCGAGCAGATCAGCGTGGCCAACAAATGTTTCTAGTGGGCAGAGCACCCGTGGCCTGCCACGCTGTCCGCAGGTCTGAGCCGTCCCAGAGCGAGCTCTCCCTACACCACCTGCAAACCACACGCACCGTGCCGGCTGCCGCAACGGTCAGGGCAGAGGGGCCACGAGGGCCACCGAGGGCGTCACCCACCCGGAACTCCCCCTCCAAGCGCCCCCTCCCTCCCAGGTCACACTGACACGGAGCTCGCCTTCCGTCTGTGGGCGGACGTGCGGGGCAGTGAGATCCCGCTGGCATCTCAGTGACCTGTCACCAGGACACAGCGCTCCGGAAACCCCTGCAGCCCACGGGCCGCGTCAGGGACGGGTGGCAGCCTCACGTGGTGGCACTCGGCAAGCTTCCGAGGGCCACGAGGACTAAGGCACTGTCACCGGCAACCACACAAGACCCTACCCCATCCTGACTCGCACCTGCCGGCTGTGGTTTCCAGAGGTCTCCAGCCACAAGCCTCGAAGCTGTGCGCTCATAGACAAGTATTTCTTCTTGCCCCAAATCGACCTTTCTTGCCAATTTCTTCTTGCCCACTAGCTGCCCGCTGGTGCCCTCCTCCAAGCACTGACAGAAGACTGCTGTACTCTCTCCTTTCCTGTGCCAGTAAAATTCTTTCCCGGATGGTGTGGTCAGGGAATGGAGCGTTCTGGTTAATCAACGGACCCGGTTAACGGTCGCTGTGTGTTCTATACCGAGCCGCCCGTTCTCAAACAAGTGAAATGCAACTTAACAGACCCGACTGTAAAAGCCACAAAATAAAAACGAAGGGCTGCCCCCGTCCTCTGCAAGGCTTCACCGCTAGGCGGCCGGTCTGTCTGGTCGTCTCTGTGAATCCCAACGAAACCGGGCGATGGAAAACATTCCTTCCCTTAGACGCAAAGCACTCTGGACAAAACCTGGAGTCCGCTGCATCGTACCTCGATTTGCCGCAGGATGTCTATGACCACCTCGGACACAGAGGAGTCGGCGTCCAGCTTGGCGGAGCAGAGGGAGAGCTGGCGAATGAGGCCGCCCAGCTCCCTGCACCAGGCAGGGAGGGGCCGCTCCCCGCGGTCGGCGAACTGGGTCACAAACACCTGCAGGGCCCGGATGGCGCTTCGGTGGGCAGCCGCCAGCCGGGACATCGCCCACGACTGGCGAGGGGGGACAGATGGGAAGTTATTTCGAAACTCAGAACTTGTCAACATTAACCCACCCTCACCGACATTTACGGCCTGTTTTCCTTCTACAGACAACTGTTTCTGTTGTGAAACTTCTTCACGGTAAAGGGGATTAAAACGTTGAAACCTTCTCTCATGGCAAAGGATCTTTTCCTTCCTATTGTCAGTTTCTTACACCAGCAGCAACAAGAGCAACAAAAATCTATTTTCAGACTCTGTTCCTTGGAAGGCGACCCCGAATTCAGAATATTTACTCTGCTCGGCCCTCACTAAGGCTCTGCAAGCGAGCGCAGGGCACCCCTACACGGTACCCACCAAACACCGGAGATGCATTTACAAGGAGTAAAGGTCAACCACACCAATCCACAGCCTACCTTCTCAGTATGTTTAATCTTACGTGGACTCAATTTATCCAATTCTTCCTGGATTTCTTTCACCTGTTTCATAAAGGGGGAGAAGTGAAAACTCAGTATCTTTCCACACGACTTTTTGGTAAAAGAGGACACAGCATGTCTTGTCCAGCTACGACCACTGTTTAAATCACGGCACTTGAATTCACACAAGGCTCTTCACTCACGTACCCGGAGCAGCGCCCCGGCTTGGAGCCCCAGGTGGTGAACACAGCACAGTGCCCACCTTCCACCCCAGGTCCCCGGCATCGCGGGAACATAACGTGAAGGAGCGAAGGTGGAGGCGGCCCTGGAAAGGGGGGAGGGCCACGCCAGAGCACGGGGTCCACCCTGTGCCTCAGAGAGCTCCCACAGGGTCAGATGCGTGTTCCGGAACAATCTCTATGGCGGCAGTGTGGGTTCAGGACTGAAACCAAACCCCAGAAGAATACAGAGCAAAATCAGACTAGGGCACTTCCTTTCAATGAAAACATCCAGTTTCTGGTTCAAGCAATAAAGCCGACATGGGACTTAAGTGACTGGAAATGCAGTAAACGTCGATTAAAGAGTGAGGCACCAAAGTTAAAACAGACATTTTTTTTAAATTTTTTTTTTTTCAACGTTTTTTATTTATTTTTGGGACAGAGAGAGACAGAGCATGAACGGGGGAGGGACAGAGAGAGAGGGAGACACAGAATCGGAAATAGGCTCCAGGCTCCGAGCCATCAGCCCAGAGCCTGACGCGGGGCTCGAACTCACGGACCGTGAGATCGTGACCTGGCTGAAGTCGGATGCTTAACCGACTGCGCCACCCAGGCGCCCCAAAACAGACATTTAAGGGGCGCCTGGGTGGCTCAGTCCGTCAAGCGTCTGACTTCGGTTTAGGTCATGATCTCAACGTTCGTGGGTTCAAGCCCCACGTTGGGCTCTGTGCTGACAGCTCAGAGCCTGGAGCCTGCTTCCGATTCTGTCTCCCTCTCTCTCTGTTCCCTCTGCCACTTGTGCCCTGTCTCTCAAAAATAAATAAATGTTATGGGGCGCCCGGGTGGCTCAGTTGGTTACAACATAGAACTTCGGCTCAGGTCATGATCTCGCGGTTTGTGGGTTCGAGCCCCGCGTCGGGCTCTGGGCTGACCGCTCGGAGCCTGGTGCCTGCTTCGGGTTCTGGGTCTCCTTGTCTCTGCCCCTCCCCGACTTGTACCCTGTCTCTCTCTCAAAAATAAATAAACATTTACAAAAACAACAACAACAGATGTTTAAAAACAATCTAGCTGCAACATAAAGAACGTGAATGTCTGTTTATCGCCATGAAAGGCATCCCGACACCCTCAACACGGCCCCCATTCCTCACCACTGGGTAAAGACAACCAGTGTTTACTGTTACTGCGTGTCCAGTGCGTCACAGACACGAGATTTCCTCTTGGGCTGTGGCTTGTAGCTGGGACGGGGGCTCCAGGGTACCTGACCGGCCTGTGTCCGCAGAAATAAGTGCCGTACAAGCACTGTTTTCCGGGGAAAGGACTCAGCGCTTTTACTGGATTCCCGAGAACCTATGACCCCAAAAAGCCAAAAACCGCTGAAGAGTTGGGCCGTATGCACGTAATACACAAACACACGTAAAGGCAGGTGGCAAAAGGAAAAGGAGTCATATGTCCGCACGTCCAGGAGATTCGGCCTCACAAACGACCCAGTGTGCTAGCGCTCCAGAGACGGCGGGGCCCTGGCGGCCGGCGCCCCCACCCTCCGCACCTGCTGCTGCAGGGAGTACAGCATCCGGGCACAGCGCACGGCCTGTTCCTGCCTCCTGACGCGGGCTCGCTGCTCCTCATCCGGTTCCAAAGCTTCTTCCGTTCTATCTGCAAACATCGTTTCCCCGAAAGTGGATTACTCACTACAGATGGAAACTTATAAAATTTTCAATTATTCCCAAAGATGATACAGTTGGAGACCTCTGCTTTTATTAAAAAAAAAAAAAAAAAAA